TTTTATTTTAACTCTTATCACTACAGCTGTTTCGGCTAATTGCCTTTCTCAAGTGATATATTTTTGGCATGTGTTTACACTTTATAGTCTCTAATGAAATAGGTTGAGGAGGGGAAAACTGTTTGTCTCGAGTTGGTCATTCAGAATTATGTCTGTGTATTTGTGTTTTTTAATTTGTTGATTTCCATAGATTCTAACAAGGATAGCTTAAGGCCTTTATTTTGAATTTGAAGAATTTTAAATTCGTCGTTAAAATAATGACTGTGATCTAGAAGGTGAAGTGCGTATGTAGAATCTGTTTTTCTATTATTGAAAGCCCTTGTATGTTCTGCTATTCGTTTGTTAAAGTTTCTACCAGTTTGACCGATGTAAGTTTTTGGGCATTCGTCACATTTAAGTTTGTACACGCCACTGTGTAAGGGTTTTTTATTTTGGCTCTTGTTGTTTTTGATATATTTGCCTAGATTGTTATTTGTTCGGAAAGCTGGTGTTATTCCTTTCTTTTTTATGTGTTTGGCTATTTTTGTTGTAATTTGGCCTGTATATGTAATCGAACAGAAAGTACTGGGTTTTTTCTCTGGTGATGGAAATACTAATTCCAGGGCTTTCTTGTGTAGTTTTTGATTTAACATTTTATTAATTGTTTGTTCATTGTATCCGTTGTTTACTACTATTTGCTTAATTATATTTAATTCTATCTCAAAGTTGTATTTTGACATCGTAATTTCTGTTAATCTATGTAACATACTATGATATGCTGCCGGTTTATGTTGTATTGGATGGAATGATGAATTGTGTATAGTCGTGTCAGTATGGGTAGGTTTGTGAAATATGGAGAAGTCATGTTTGTTTTTAAATCTGATAATTTTTAAATCTAAAAAATTTATGTGTCTGTACAAATTTAAATGTGGCGACTGCCCAAAAACTTACATCGGTCAAACTGGTAGAAAATTTAACAAATGAATAGCAGAACATAAAAGGGCTTTCAATAATGGAAAAACATATTCTACACACGTTCTATGATTCTTTTAACGACGAATTTAAAATTCTTCACATTCAAAATAAAGGCCTTAAGCTATCCTTGTTAGAATCTATGGAAATCAACAAATTAAAAAACACAGATATAATTCTGAATAACCAACTCGAGACAAACAGTTCTCCCCTCCTCAACATCACAGTTCTCATCACTTGAGAAAGGCAATCAGCCGAAACAGCTGTAGTGATAAGAGCTAAAATAAAAATTTTGTGGAAGTTTGAAAACAAAGTTTTCAGTGTTTGATTGTTACATAAAATAAATTTTCATCAAGTAACGGTCGAATCTATCAATTATTATATATTTACCTATTTTTGTATATTGAACTGGCCATTGAAGTCGTAAAAGTTACGATCGGCGGAAAGGAATAACAAGCAATGTAGACTAGGCTTATAAGTAGAAATTTAAAAACTGTAATACTGGACTACTCACTGTAATTGGAATAGTTGTCCAGAAAATATTTTAAGTAAATTAACATGGTAAATAAAGAGGGCAGATTTATGGTTCGCGGAATTAAAAACTCTAACGGTCGAATCCATCAATTATTTAAAAACTCTTCAGTCACCCATCAAAAATTAGGTTGTCAAAACATTTTTTCTTAATAAAGTAAGTACATTTTTTTACCGTTGTTAACCTCCATACGTTAATGAGAAAAATCGAAAAAAATAGATCTTTTATCTGGTACGAATACATATATGAAAATGTTATAATTTAATTTACTTGCTTTTTGGTCTGGGATTAATAACATACTTGTTGTTGTTCAATATAGCTCTAAATTGCTATTAGCAATGAATATTTTTTAATGTATAAGGACTTTATGTATAAAATAAATGATACAGAAAACGAATTGCTTAAAAATAATGGAGCATTAGATTTATATTTATGCAAGATGTACCCTAAAAATACATTAAAATTATATCTTTCATAGAAATAAACCACATGCACCATTATTCTTTAAGAATTAGTCTTTCTGTATATTTTATTCAATCCTTTTTGTATAGTCACCCAATAGTGTTTTAGGAAATTGAGTGAATGAACGAACAGTTAGGAAATTGCCATGAATTTAGAGGAAGCGTAGGAGATTGTTTTTACGTATTCAACCAATTATCTGGCTAAATAAATCTTGAACCTAAGGCTAAAAAAATAGTTTTTCTGTATAATTTTATATACCAATAGAATAACATATACCTATGTATTCTAAGTTCTAGTTTGTAACAAAGTGTTCATTGAAAATTCGTTAATTCGTCAAAATGTTTGAAAAAGTGTTTTACTAATCCCAGAAAGAAAACCAAATACGGTCAGATAAACATTTTATCCTAAATTCACATCAGGAAATAACAAATATAGTAAATTTTATTTGTTATATCTTAGCTAAAAAAGATCCAACTACTATAATACAAAATTCTTAAATGAGCTTAATAAACTTATCAAAATTATGCGAAATATCTTGTATGCTCTATTAATTTAGTAATTTATGACTTATCCAAATCTCTTACCAAACTTATCCAAATTTCTTGCTAACATTCTTAAATATGCTTTTTACCAAGTAACAACTATAACGTAAGGGATATGTTTTATAAATATGTTTTAATTTCGTTATTAGGTACTCTATATTTACGAATATACCAATAAATTCAATATAAAACGATCAAGATGGAATTTAATTCAGAATTATACAACAATCTCTAAAGATAGCTTTTTATCACTTCTAAAATATAGTTTTGACAACAACTATTTTAGTTTCAATGAGAAATTCTACCGCCAAATATTTGGAGCACCTATGGGTAATCCACACAGCTTTATAACAGCAACTACCATTTTGAGTCATTTCTCTTTGCCTTCATTAAAAAAATTGTAGACGGTCATAACATACGTTATGTTCCTTTTTTACACCTTCACTACTTTTAATACACATATACAATTTACTGTAGAGACTTAAAGTTAGTGTTCGATATCATTACTAGATACAAAACTAATATGAACTGAACAAATCAAAATAATGATAGATTATCAAAATAATGATATATTACCAGAGGGACTCACCAGAGGGACCAGAGGGACCGCAGACGTTCGGATACAATTAGCGTCTCTTAGCAAAGACAATGACGTCGACTTTGCTAAGTATCAAGACAATTACTCTACACACACAAACACACACACACACACACACTCACTACATTAATAAACTTATCTTGATTGAGACTGGCTGAATTACAATTGTCCAAGCCAAAACACACACAAAAAAAAACTCTCCATCACATTGATTGGCAATACCAACAATAAAAAATAAATCACAGTAAAAACGGCAATCCAAGAAATAAACAATAACCGATAACCTGACAGTTAACATCACAAACTTTTGGATCGTTACCTTATATTCCATTTTTAACACTGAAACTTCTCAAATTATTTAAAGGATTAAAAAACATAAAAATGGTCACTAGAAATGTTAAAACCATAGCACATGTATACATTGACACTAAAGATCCTCTAAGAACCAAGGAAAGTTCTGAAGTAGTGTATCAAATAATGGCTCAGAATGTGATAAGGTTTTATATAGGAGAAACTTCTCGTACATTACACAGCAGAATTATTTCTCACAAAAGTGGTGGAAAAACAAACAAATTACAAGCTTGTGCATTAGCCGATAACTCCATCAATCTAAATCACACATTTAATTTTTCACAAGCTTTAATTCTGGAAAGGCACAGAAGCGATTATTTTTAGAAAAGACACATATACAGAAAAATAAAAACATCCCAACAATAGAAAAATTCATATATTTATGCTAAACTGACTGGACTAATTTAGTTTTTATCGATAATCAAATAAATCATCATGAAACTTTTGTTACTGATTTTGATTTTCACAAAAAATAACTGTATATTCATTCATATATGTATGTTAATCAACCCAACATTACAATGACATATATAATGACAATATAATTTTGTGAAAATTTTTTTTATTAAATTTTAATATGTGTCTAATTGTGCGTTTTGTAAAGTCCAATTTATCACGACTCACGACTAGTAAGTTAGAAAATTTATAATTATAATTACATAATTTATATAATTATTTATTATCAACAGATGTCTTGAAAAAGAATTGAAAATAAACTCCAAATCTTATTTTCTTCGTGAGAATATGCTTAATCAACTCAATTAACACTTTAAATTTTGAAATTTTTAAAATCCAAACCTTCCCCTTGCAACTCACTAACAGAATTCTAATTTTGAAAAACTTCACATGAGATAACAGGTGGAAATAACAGCCGCGCCCGCAAGAAAATAAACTCATACATTTTCGATCAACTTCATCAGTCCGATCTTTGTAAAATTATGCTCCAAGCGATTCATCAGAGGGTCCAGCTACCGGAATCCAGTAGACACCGCTCAGCTGAGCGTCAAATCTTAAACAATTCACAAATTATCAATTTGAATTTGTGGGTCCCGCCCTCTTCCCCTCCGAAACTCCTCCCCAGTCCTGCGCCGGCAATCTTCTAACATGCCGTTTGTCTGCCGACACGACTTATCCCCTCTCGTGGCCTCGTCTCTCTTCTGCGAATGCCGATGTATAGTATTGTCTTTGTTGGGACCGTAGCGCTTACGCGACTGTTGTGAGTATCGCATCCTAGTATACTAAATCCAATGAACGTGTGGTATTGCCCAGTCGTGGCGCCGCTAAACTACACGCGAACGGTCTGTCTGTCACTACCACATAAGTTTCCACGTGAGACACAACTTTTGAACGGTTTGTCAAATGATACGCGATGTGCTACCTCAATCTCACCGCTACTAATTCGAGATCGTAAAACTTGTTGGACAGTTTTATATCCTCAGTCACGTGCCAACGTTTAGTGTTGTGTTTATTGCTCCATTAGTGTTAACAAACAATTTATTACTTCGCTGTTTAGCGCGCATTGACGATATGTAATTGGACTTTAATTATATAAAAGTCGTAAACGATGAGTTCCTATCAGTTCGTGAATTCTTTAGCGCAATGCTACGGACAACAAGGACGATCCGGTGAACAAACTCATCAGAACCCTGCTCCTGGAGGTGATTATTACAATCCTAATGCAGCTGCAGCTTCTAGTTACCCGCCTGCTTGCTACTCTCCTCCTCAAGTAGGTCCGCAATATCCCCCGCATCCATATGCTACACCTGCACCAGGCCATGGGCTTCAACCCACAATGGGAGACTATACTCAGCTCCAGCCACAACGAATTCCTGGTGCTACAAGCACACACATGCACCATGCAAGCCCTGGTGGCCAAAGCCCTGGAATGCTAAATCCTTCGGCTAGCTGTAAGTATGCTGATTCGACCTCCTCGACAGGTGTAGCATCTCCACAAGACCTAAGTACTAGTGGACCGCCGACAAGAGCCACTCCTCCTCTAAATAGTACACAAACGAGTAATAATTCTAACGCGACGATTACTTCAAAAAGTTCGGGTCTAACATCTCCTTTATCGGTCAGTACTTCTCCCACTGGAAAACCACCCACGGGATCTTCAACAGCTTCGCAAAATTTATCTTCACCAGCTTCGAGCACGAGCTCCACCTCGAGCAACGAAAAATCCGGATCAAATAACAACTCGAAGAGCGGGAGTTCCTCGAATCCACCGCAGATTTATCCTTGGATGAAAAGAGTTCATCTTGGACAAAGTAAGTAATTACCTATTATCAATAAATAACAAATAATATTAAAACCTTAAAGAGAAGATCGCAACAATATGTTTTTAGAAACTTCGATTATTTGGTGCCTGAATTTACTGGAAATATTAAATTAGTATGTGATTATTTTATTAACAAATAGCAGATTTTACGACCGATCTGCGAAAAATTATTATCTAATTAATTAAAACATAGTTATTATCTCTTAATTAATAATTAAAAAGATAATGATATCATTATGTATTCCAAAAAAATTATTGTTTTTTAAATGACTAATACAAATTTTATTGCTTCCATGAAAAACTGGATTAAATTATTTTGCATTGCTAATTTTCAATGGTATTTACAATGTAAACATTCCCGAAGAAATGTTAACCAAATTAAACATATATGATCCATATGTTAAGAATTCCATACATATTTTCACTTGCTTTACACTTACTAAATAAATAAATTTCGTATATATTTTAAAGTATATAGTGATAATAAAGAAGGATTGATCAACACATTTTCTTTTTGAATAATTGGATTTAAATATATCCTAAAGTTTGTATTTTATTAACGCCATATGAAAGTATTTTTTCTCCGTTACAATCTACTTTTTAAAAGTTTTAATCAATGAAAGTTTATTCTTTGATGATAAGATCAAAGTTTATATTTAAATGTAAGCATTAATGATATTTTTACTCTTAATATAAAACATTTTATTTAGTATAATATAGAATAAAATATGAAGCATTCGGTTATTTTCACACTATTATAATTTCTTCGTGAATAAAATAAAATTTTAATTACTATTTAACTGGGAATAAGCCAAAACTAAAGATAAAAATACGTTTATTGAAAATAAAAATACGTTTATACAATAAACGTATTTTTATCTTTAATTGTGGCTTATTCCCAGTTAAATAGTAATTAATTTAAAATGCCACAAGAAAATAGCTTCAGAAAAATAAAATTTTGGTTAATATATGTACAAATTTTCGTGAAATAGTTATTGACTCATATTCTCTTATTTAAAAACTTTTTATTAGATGTATCAATGAAAGAAGCGTAACTGATCAAAAATATTAGTGAACTTTTATTTTTCTTGATTAATTCTAAAACTTAAGAGCAGAAAACTGACATTTCATATTCGTTAAAAAAGTTAGAATATACATTACTAAGAGGATAACCAAAAAAAAAAAGTTATCATTATTAGGTATTAAATTTTTTAACCGAATAATCAATTCTGCAAATTAATTTAGAAGTCGCTTCTGCGAATGAACTTATTCTTTTTAACTTTTATAAACAATAAAATAGAAAGAAAGACCAATTTGCTATGTAAATTTTGTATCGTAAAATCTTGTTAATTGTATTCAAATGCAAATGCACGTGTTCGGCCAATTTATTTGGAAGACTCCGATTGACTGAGAACATTCCTAATTTGCAATGAATAGTAAATAAAATCACGAGGAGCTAACTATACAACAAGTATAGAGGAAATATACAGACCCAACATATTCTAAAAATTCTCAATTGTTCCTCACTGCCCAAATTCCTTCAGGGCAAAATTCACAACGCAATTATGTGCAGTATTGGCAAAAAGTAATAAAATTTTGTAGTTATCCCCCACACACAACTGCCACCTATTTTTTTGTCGTTTAAATAATATGCTTATACGAATAACACGTTAGATAATAATGTATTTTATTAAATATAGGAAATTACATTGTAAAATAAATGAGTAAAATCGGTGTATCGACGAATGAGCTTTAAAGTACCAGTAGTCATATAACTCCAAAAAAACTATTTAGATGAGAAAAGTATTAGATGAGATTAGATTAGAGATTAGATTTAATTTTTCCTTACAATTACTATTACATATTATATATAATGCTATATCCTATACTACTACAATATATACAATATTACATTTGTTTGTATAAAACACTTAATACTACACCTAATATTCCTTATAGTCTTTCCATGCATTTCTTCATCACTTCCTTCCATTGTTTTCTGTCCAAAGCTTTTTCTTTCCAGTTTACAATATTCCTTTTTTTAAAGTCTTTATATACGCTGTCCTTTCATCTCCTTCCTGGTCTTCCTATTCTTCTTTTTTGTATTGGTTTACGTAATAGAACCATTTTTGGCATTCTCGCCTTTCCCATTCTTTCGATGTGTCCTAAGTATCGGATTCTCTGTGCTTTGATTGCCGTCCTTACTTTTGATTCATTATATAGTTCTTCAAGTTCATTATTATTTCTTCTTTTCCATTGTCCATCTATTTTCACGCCTCCATATATTGCTCCTTGTATTTTGCGCGCCCATCTTTCTAAAAGGTTTATTTCTGATTTTTTTAAGCACCCATGTTTCACATGCATATGTAGCTGTAGGTCTGATAACTGTTTTGTAGATTTTTATTTTTGTTTTTCTTAAGACGTATTTGGATTTCATTAATGGACGCAATGCTCCATACTTTTTGCTTTTATCTCCCCTTCCCCATGTCCCTTTTCATCAACTTTTCTACACAGGCAAGTAAATTCTGAAATTCTTTTAAAAACGCATGAATTTTCTCCTTCTACCTCCAATGTGAAATTGTCTTCTTTTTCTTTATCTCTTTCACCCATTATCATGTATTTTGTCTTTTCCTTATTTATGAGAAAACCAAAAATGTTTTGCTTCTTTTATTATATTGCTCATTAATTTTTTTAGCTCTTTCTTACTTGTTGTCAATAGTGTTAGATCATCTGCGAATGCTTACATTGATGGCCATTTCTGTTTGTTTATTTTACTTTTTCTACTACTTTCTGCCCACACTCCTTTCTTACATCACTTTATTATCTATTCGATGAAAATTATTATCAGCACATATTTGCATCTGTGAACATCAGCTTCTAAAACATATAGTATAGTGCGATAGAGAATATCTTGGAATTTCCTATTATCATATTAACTATGGACTGTATTACTTGTAAGATAAGACTTTGCAGTTTAAAAATCGCAATTAGTATTGCATCAAAAGAACTTATATAAAATTATTTTATTAGTGGTTGAAAAATATCGTTACTAAATAAAGTAAACTTAAAAAGAGACAGGGAAGAACTAGAACGAAGTTAAAAAAAAAACTAACAGAGAACTAAAGTATTTTTGTGTATGATGGTAAATTTCATTAAAATATTAAAATTCATTCAAAGGATTATAAATCTTCAAGACGTTTTCAGTCCAGAAGGACTATCATCAGTGAAACAGTTTAAAGTAGTTGAAACTAGCGACCAAAATAGGCTTAGAAATCTTTGAATTACATGAAAATCATAGTAAATTGTAAAATTATAATGACACATGGTCGATTTTATAGGTTTTCACATAAAGGGAACTAGCCAACAGTTGGCTAGATCTAGTCGTTCTCCTTTCGAGTTGGGGACATGTACTCCCTTTATGTGAAATCCTATGGCATCCACCTTGTGTCATTATAATTTTACAATTTACTACGAATACCATGAGGGTAATCCTAAGGTTAAACCTATTTTGGTAGCCAGTTTCTACTACATACTTTAAAATGTTTCACTGATGATGATCCGACCAAAACGAAAACGTTTTGAAATTTCGTAATTTTTTTTTGATAAATTTTAATATTTTAATAAAATTTACCATCATACACAAAAAATTTTTAGTTATCTGTAAAAGAAAACTTCGTATTATTTTTTTGATATTTTCTATTGATTGCACTTATATGGGGAAATAATTTGGTATAATATCTTCCGTTAGATTCAGTCTTTTATATTTTCCACACTCCTTTCTTATCTGACTGTATTATCTATGCGATGAAACTTCTTATTAATACATATTTGCATCTTTGAATATCGTACAATCAGCTTCTAAAACATATATACATTCCTGCTCAATTTATTAGACTCACTTAACAAATACTAGTTAAAAGCATAACACAAATCATAGAAGTAAACTTTTTTCATATTTATTAAACAAAAACAACGTAAATTATTACAATATTTTCAGCCACTCTTGACTTTAAACAGTGCAGCAACTTTCCCAGGCATGCCTTTTTCTGCAATTTCTTTTAAATTTTCTTTATGATTCTAATGGAAAATAATTTTTTCTGAACCAACTGAACCTTGGTGGTAATTATTTCATTGGCTAACTATCTTTTTAAGTACTCCCAAACATTTTCAATAGGGTTTATGTCTGGTGAGTTGCCTGGCCATAGTATGAGCGGAATTTTTTGTTCTAATAAAAAATTTTTAATACTTTTAGCCGTATGGCAATTTACTCCATCCTGCATAAATGTCTTAAGGTTGTTACCAAACCATACGTTTACTTGTGAAACCAGTCTTATCTGCAGAACCCTTTTATATTGGTCTTGTCACATGGTTCATTCTACGACATACGAACGTCCTATACCTTTGCTACTAATCACCGACCATATCATTAGTGAGGTGGGATATTTAATTGTATTAATACACGCCTCTTTTCATATTTTTCCCCTGAACGGCTTTGGATAAACTGAGCTTTGTCATTCATAATTTAAAATGTAGCTTCGCCGATGAAGCAAACCTGTGAATGTGAATAACAATTATAAAGTTCAAAAATAAAATGATTTGTAGTAATTTGCCTTACTCCAATCATCAATAGACCGGTTTTTATGGATCTTGCCCCAAGCTATGCGTTTTTTGAGCATTTGTGGTGTAAGTTTTGGCTTCTTGATAGGCCTGCGACATTTGAAGCCCATGCCATACAAATTTCGACATACGGTGGCCACCGATACTAAGCATCCCGCTTCTTTCAAATTATTCCTTAAATCTCTATGGGTGGCCCTTCTGTGTGTTACAGCTAAATTTTTTTAAATTCCTTGCGCCCTGGGGATGACTGAAGGTTTTTTTTGCCACACCGGCCCTTCCGAATTGAGGTCGCTTCTCTTCGAGTTTTTGACTCAAAATGGGATACACCACATTTTCGTGCCATTTTTCTCTGACTTGGTGATGTATTCTCTA